CTTTACGACTCATATAAGCTACAAAACCACAGTTACGCCCTCTTGCTTTTTCTTCATCAGACCTAGGCCACATTATTTTAATACTTGCCAAAGGTCCATATTTGCCAAAAACTTCCATTAACTGAGCTTCAGTAATCTATAAATAATAAATCTACAATAGTAACATTTATTCACGTAAATAACTAAAGATATTTTATGCATTACTTTAGGATTAAGGTTTCCTAAGTATAAATTTGTAGTATTTGGATCGCCTGAATCAAATGAACCTTTGATTTCATCAGGTTCAACCATTATTAAATCTAAAGAAACGTTTAAAAACATTATTTAATTATTTAATATATTTAGATATATTATGTACTACTCTTAATTTCAGGATCTTCAATAGTTTTTTGTAAAACTCCTTTGAATTTATGTCTTTCTTCTCTTTCTTCTTGAATCCTATTAATTCCACAAAAATAAATAAATTGTTAAAATGTATTTAATTATTCAAAAAATAAATACAAAAATATAAGAATGATAAGTTATATAATTACATTTTTAGTTCTTCTTTGAACAATTCTAGATTACTTTTTTTCTTTTCACCTTCTTTTTTTTTTTTTGTAAGCATTCTTTCATTTTTACGTTCACCCATAAAACGAGAAAGGTCATCTGCTTTATCTGAGTCTGCATTTCCTCTAGCTTGAGGCTTGTATAATTTACCTTTTTCTCGAGTATCCTCCTCTATATATGTGATATAAATCATTAGTATCAAACGATTAAAGTTAAATATATATATATAAAATTTTACGTCTCTTTCCAGCATCATATGTACCAGCTTTAACCCAAACTTTACTATTTTTTTTCCCTTCATTTTGAAAAGTTGCTACAAACTCTTCAAAGGCCTGTAAAATTAAATGACAATAGAACCATAATTTTTGTTAATAGAAAATCCAAGCAGCTGAATATTATTGTAAAATAAATTATTATAATTACTTGAGCAGCAGCATGTTCTTCTTCCTTTTTTTTTTGTTCATTTAATTCTTTTTTTGAAGGCTGAGTTTTTCCCATTGCTCCGATAGAAAATGCTTTGAGCTTTTGTTCTGCTATGTACTATTCAAAATGAAATAATAGTTTATATATTTTTTAATTAATTTGTTTTTAATTCTATCGGGAAATAAAATATGAATTTATTTATTGGTTATCTGATTCAATTGTCATGAATTTATATCAAATGATATCCAAAATATCTTAACTATTACCCAAACTTTCAGTTTAAAATTAATTAATCTCACTATTTTACTAACACTACTTTTTATGAATTGTTCACCTCATAAAATGTCATATAATAACCTCAAATTAATAAATATTAAAAAAAATATCAGATAGTTTTTCTATAATTCACTTTAAAGTTTGAACAGAGTATTCAAAAATATTACATCAAAAAATGTATTATTTTTTATAATTTACATTTTATTTCAATCAATAATTTTAGGTATGTAGATTTAAGTTTCTAATATGTATTCGATAATAATTATACTTTGTTCTAAATAAAAATACACCAGACAGACAGTGCCTAGTTTTCATTCGTCAACGCACATCTCCCATATAATGGAATAGGTGAAAAGGAAAACATTTTTATAGAACTGATGGAGTTCTATATGAAAACTCTTTTGGAATGGAAATCAATTATTTTTTAGATTATTAAATATAATTACATTATATGTAATTAAAATAATTATTTGATATTAAACTCTCAAATAACTTTTCTTTAAACAGTTTAAATGTCAAGTATATTCATGTATAATCTAAATAATTTTCTCTCAGTATACTAAATTAAAACCCTAGAAAAAATTATTTTGGAATTAAATACATACAAGTAGTAATAAACATTAAACATAAAATTAAGTAGTACGCAAAAAATAATTTTAAAAAAAAAACAATTTTGTACCACCTAATTATTTATAATAAATGTTGTATTTCTATTATTGTAAATAGATATGTTATACAAAAATAGATAATATCTTACCTTTTTAAATTGTCCCGAGTCAGCCATGATTAAATAAATAAATTATTATTATATAACTGACGTTAATTAAACTTAAATAAGTGATTTGAAAATTTAACAACTAATATTAAAATAAAAATGAAATAAAAAGCATTAGAATCTATAAACAGTTTAGATCATAACTCATAAATTATTAGAAATATCTACATAATAATATGTATTTTGTAAATGTATAAACTTGAAACTACAGAAACACAATAAAATTAATGTATTAAACCAAACATCTTAATTTTAAGTCATAGTATCATAGATTAGTGATTCACATTAACTCATTAAAATTATGTGTGTATATCTGAATAAAATTTTCTTTGGTGAATTGGTGAACATTGAACCATTGTAATTTATACTTTTTTTTTATATCTTTATACTAAGTTTGTGACACTATAAAATTATCATTATTATTATTATTATTATTATTATCAATCTCACACACAATAATAATATACTCCTTGGTCGCATAGAATCCTTGACAACAAAAATTAATATAGAATCCCTACGAAGTTTGTTCGAAAACAGTTTTGTTCGAATAGACATTTGTTCCAAAAATTACATTTAAAAATTAGAAATCGAAAAGTTTTAAAGAAACCGTATTTACATATCAATATATCATTATTTATTAATACTATTAATGTATCTTCAATATTTTTAAAGAGCTATAATTATTAGGAGAAAATTTGCATTAAAGTTTCTAGGTATTTGACCCATGAACAATTTTTTTATTGACATTTATTTTCATTAAAAAAAAACTAAAACTTTTTTAAAAATTCTAAGTGTTTATAAATCAGCTTAAAAGAGTAAAAATATTTTAAAATTGTTATCATATTTAAAATATTTTATTATAAATATCTATTGAGGACTTCAAGGTTCAACTTCGGTTACCTACTCGTATTTTTAATTAGGTACCTACACTCTACAGCAAACTGAGCAAACTAATTAGAAAACCGATTTTGTGTAAAATTTCCAGTTTTCTCAAAATTTTTTTTTTCTGTTATTACTTTTAAACGTACTAGAAATTTTTAATTTTGACTTCCGATAAAGAATTCATAAGGCATACACTATAATAGTATATACTATTTAGATTAATTTTTCTATCAGAAAAAAATCATTGATATTGAGAGTCAAAGTATTTCGTTTATTTAGTACCTACTAAATGTCTATAAACAGTATACGGTGTACCTATTTATAGTACTTATAAATATATACGAAAAACACACATTATTATAAAATAAATTGGTACATTGAACGCCTTATTTAGAATCTAATATAGGTATCTTTTTCTTCCAAATGAACTGACGACGCTGCGGGATCAGCTTTCGCATTACTTTCGCGAGAATCTATTATCTATGTCTAACATAACATAAAATAACCCTCAAAATTTAGTCCAGCTGCAAAATAGGTATTCAGACGTCCTCGTCCGTAGAGTCATTTTTACTGTAATATATATAAAGGTATGATGATTCTTATTAAATTCAAATTTAATATAGTTTTTATAGTAACTTAGTCAGGCGTATGTGCAAGGGGAGGGTTAAATTCCTCTTCATATTACCTTTTTTGCATCTAGGCCATTATAATTACTGATTTTATTGAATAAAAGAAAGTTTACTTCTGCAAGAGTTCTGAAGTATAATATAACCCTATCCATTATGAAAAATCCTGCTTTTGGGCTTTAAAAAATAAATTTAATTTGAGCCTCGAAGAATAAAATAATGCATGTATATTTTTTTTTTAGAATGAAAATTATAGTATACTAGCAGTAAGTAGTAACTATTTATTACGAATGTTAACATCAATTAAGGCATACTCCTAAAATAATAATAGATACTTACCTCTTACCTACCTACCTATTCTGATTGCATCATTTCATGGTATTTAGAAGACTAGGTAGATTTAATGTTCAAATGTACAATAAAAAAAAATAAATGTTCAAATTCAAATTAAATATTTTTCAATTTAACTCTCACTTAACCAAGTGAATTTACAAGACAAATTTATAAATTAAAATTTTTTATTTTTTTTTTATTTTTACAAGATATTTACAATCTATTCAAAGAACAATAAGTAAATTTTATAAGAGTAATAAAACATGAAAAGTATGACGGAAGAAGCCACCCATTGATGACACTACCTATTTTGTTTCAGTTTAATAAGAGGATTTTCTAGTATTCATGCATTTAGCAGGTCACGACACGTCGACACCAGTTACGTTTAAGACGTCTAGCGGGATTACCCGGAATCGAAGGAATTGTTAGATTTTTTTATAAGAGGGTTGGATGGTAAATAAATTAAAATAACTTAAAAATAATCAATTCATCCGTCAATGGTATTTAAAATAAGAGTTGACAGTTGTAATAAAAAAATGAAGTCGTGTTGCGCATGCGCAAAATTTAAATACATATTATGTTCAAAAATTTTTAAGTCAGAAGAATTTGTGATCCAATATTCCATAAACAGAATTTTAAATTATGAATGATAGCCGGTTAGGTTAGGTTAGACACTGACATAAAGTGTACCTGTACCGGCTGTACCATGATATATTTTATTAAATTTTTTTTTTCCGAGTTTTTGCGGTACTTTTGTCGTTTGGAGCTTATGTATTTTCTCGATTCTCTATGTCGTATTCATAAATCGTTATACGGCTTTATAATAATATATATATAACCTCAAAAATATAATTCAAATTTGAATGTTATAGTTTGCTCATATTGTTATTTGTTGATTTAATCTAATTTCTGCTCCTGCTATGAGTTTTAACTTTTGACAGTTATAACTTACGTTTTAATTACCTATAATATGTTTACTAAATACTAAGAATAACTTATTATTATTTTTTTTTAATTTGAGTTTATATACGTATATTGTTGTTAACAGTATTCGATTATTTAATACTTAGATAAGCGATTAATACAAAAATCATATTACAATAGTTAGAAAATATTTTTAAACAGAAACAATATTTTTGAAATCGTTTTTATAATTCAATAATATACTTAAGCATTTCTCATTTAAATAAATTTTATATTATATATCTTCTAGTTAAATATGATAGGCGAGTCAAGATCAGAGTTTAGACTTAAGAATCCGCCAGAAGATGGAATATCGTCTGTAAAATTTGGACCTAATTCATCTCAATTTTTGTTAGTATCATCTTGGGACTGTTCAGTTCGACTTTATGATGTTCAGGCGAATAGCATGCGCACAAAATATACACACGATCGGCCAGTATTGGATGTTAGCTTCCAGGTATAGTTACTATAATTAATAATATTAATTATTAAATTGATTATATATTATACATTTTAATAACAAGATTTAAGTTATACATTTATGATAAGTTTGTGTGTAATAGAAGAATCTAATCACATATTATATTACATACTTAAATAAATATTTAATTTATAATAGGATGCAGTTCATTCATTTAGTGGGGGTCTTGATAACAAGTTAAAAATGTATGATTTGAATAGTAACTCAGGTAAATATTTATTAACTAAATTTAAATATTTCACACATAAATTTAACCAATATTATATTTCAGAAAGTGTCCTAGGCTCACACGATAATGCAATACGTTGTGTTGAGTATTCTAATGAAGTTAATGTAGTTTTATCTGGTGGTTGGGATGGTAACGTTAAGATGTGGGATACTAGATCATCTCAATGTGTTGGTACTCTCCTCCAACCAGACAAAGTATGTGTTATATATTTTCATTAAAATTTGTAATTATTATTTAGCTCTATGTCAGTAGCTAACCCATCTTTTATTTTATTTAGGTTTTTACCATGAGTAATGTAGGTGAAAAACTTGTAGTTGGTACTGCCGGGCGGAAAGTATTTGTTTGGGATTTAAGAAACACTGCATATATAATGCAAAGAAGAGAATCAAATTTAAAATTTCAAACAAGATGTATACGTTGTTCACCAAATAAACAAGGATATGTGTTAAGTAGTATTGAGGGAAGAGTAGCTGTAGAATATTTTGATACAGCTCCAGAAATTCAAAAGAAAAAATATGCTTTTAAATGTCACAGAATTAAAGATAATGATATTGAATGCATTTACCCTGTAAATGCTATCAGGTAATAATTTTTTGTATTTATCAAATTAAAATTTGTTTAGTTATTAATTTTTTCACGGAACTTTAATAATAAAGTTTTATAATAATATAATAACTTACTTAAATAAAACATGATATCTATTTACAAGTTTGTATTGCCTTTTATTTGGAACATGTCGGATAATGGGTGTATTTTAGTTCTACTTTAGGAAACCTATATTTTATTGTTAATTACATATCCAGATATTGTTGTGAATAAATTTCTTAAAATACAATTATTAGAAATATCTAATTATTTTTTATTAAGTAAAGATGTTCTTGATAATAAATAGTCTAATATTTATTTTAAAAATTTAAATAAACGAAAATTTAACATTTTTAATGAACGAAATATTTATTAATAGTTATATTAAACTGTTATCATATAAAAACCAAATGTATTTAATAATATAATTTAAAACCATATTATAATATAAACATGCATTTTATTGAATATTTATGTAAAATTAAGTAGTGAAATTTGATTTTTCAATAAATTTTATACGTGTCAAAGAGTGAGCAAAGAGGAATATACTTATACACTTCATTTGTGTTTTTTCTTTTTCTAATATTTATAAATTTTTTATGTTATTAGTTTTCATCAAGTATTTAATACATTTGCCACGGGTGGTTCAGATGGATATGTGAATATTTGGGATGGTTTTAATAAAAAAAGATTGTGCCAATTTCATCGTTATAATACAGGAATCACATCTCTGTGCTTTAGTCACGATGGTGAGTAAAATGTTATTTATTCATTTTATTTTTTGTTAATAATGACTATAATGCTCTAATATAGCAGGTTTATATTTTTATTATAATCCTTTAATAATTTTTATAACTTTGTATAATACTTTAACAATATAACTTATTTTAAAATATTTGTATTTATATTTTATTTATTAGTTTTCAGTTTAATAAATAAATAGTATTTTTATTTAAGGTTCATCTTTAGCTATTGGCAGTTCTTATATGTATGAACAAGACACACATCCAGATCCTATACCTGAAAACAATGTTTATATTAGGTATGTTACTGATCAAGAAACTAAACCTAAATAACTGAATTATATAAATATATTTTTTTATATACAATAGTTTTGTGCATTTGTAATTTATTATAAATAAATTTAATATACTTTTTTTTTTTATCATTTAATGTTGGGTGTAAATATTGTATCTTTGTATACTCAAAATTAATTTATAAATTGTAATGTAATAATAGACAGTAAATATTAACATTATTTTTATTTTTTTTATAAAACTGAAATTTCAAATTTTGTTGTTTATAATTGAATAAAATAATAAATATTTTTAGTGAATAGTAAATTTAAATTAATTCTAGAAAATGTAAGTTTGAAGATATGTACTATATTCTTTTATAATACATTATAGGGTTATTTAAAATTTAGTAGTTCTTATTACCTGTTTGATACACGTCAAATTTTTTATTACTTTAGAACTGATTATATTTTATATAATATATGTAAGTTTAATGTTTCTTATTCCATTTATTTTGAGGATTGCTAAACAATTCCATGTTTATATCCATTAGAATAAGTATATCAGAAAGAAAAATTTTATTATTGGTTAAATTATGTTGAGAAAATATCTGTTAACATCTGTTTTAAATATGATGATTTGTTATTAATTCTTACCATCAAGATTAAAATCTTGATGTTATCCTGCACTGAAATTTAATGAAGTTAAAAGATTACTTATCATACTGTATGACATTTGTATTTTTGGATTGATCATTGAGTTACTTAGAAAGTTATTTAGACATACTTAACTGTTTCAATTTTATTTTATCAATGTTTGATGTTTAGTATCATATAACACTGGTAGAATTTTATCACGACTTTTTTTTAAATTTAATCTTATATGTTTAAAAAGTATTGAAATATGTAATTAAAGTTTAAAAAGCTGTTAAATACAGTTTTTAAATTATGAAACTAAATATTATGATGTACAGTTAAATTTAATTACATTTTGAATAGAAGCATATAAGTATTTTATTTTAGTGAATGTGAAATGATATAGGTGCATATAATAGATTTGTATACCTAAAACATTCAAGAATATAGTGGCACCGAATGCACAATATATACTGTGTGAACCGTTTAATGTAAGGCACTTATTATTTAAAAACAATGTTTGTGAAATAACTTTTTTTAATAGTTTTAAGTTGTTAAAATATAACACTAATTAAAATAAATAATATTTTATTTCTTATTGCAAAGCAGAATTTTTGGAGTTCTTTGATATATAAAAATTTAAATTTAATTAGATTAATTAGAGCTATAAATATTTTAAGCTTTTAAGTTTAGATGAGTGGAGTGAAGTAGTATTCTGCATGTATACTATTCCATTCATTTAAACTTAAAATACTTGTTCAATATTTGAATTTTGTAAATCGAAATACTTCAAATAATATTTTGTTTCAAAGTATGAAATTAAAATGTATCTTGTTAAAAAAATAATAAAAATTTAATTTGTCATAAATTTGTTTTGAAACTACTTAGAATAGTGCAAAAGTATTATTTATGCTATTGATTTTGAATATAATAATGTTAAACGGATCACCCCTTATATTTTTTAAATGTCATCATAAACAAATATTTACTATTGATCCAACTATATGATAAATTTAAATATTTTTATTTAAAAATAAACAAATTTGAAATTTGTACTACATAGATTGAAGTTGTGATATACCATTGCTATGATGTATTGTATTTATGTTACTAAGTTAATTAGTAAAATATATCACTTAGATTATTATAGGTTATTTATGAAAGTCGTAAGCATTTCAGAATTGTTTCGAATATAAAATTTGCAATGTTTATGTGTTAGATATGCACAGATATTTGTTGCAAACAGTATTGCTTACTATTAAATCTAAGATAGGTGGTTTCAGTAAACACTGATTTTGTTACATTAAATAGGACAATTTTCATGTACTCATATTCAAATATCTGAAGTATCTATAATTTGCACAACTTTAACCTACGATCCACTATCACCATAAGACGTGTGCATACTTCAATTTTTGGTCTAGCTTGGAACAATTAATGCCCCAATACTTGATGTGTGCCTAATTTTTTTTAACATATTAATGTACATTATAATTGTAAATTTAATTAAGTTTAATGTGTACACAGCATTAATGTACTCATTTCTAGACATATATTTTTGAAGTTAAAAATAAAAAGATATAAATACAATTATGTATAAAATGAGAAGACACAAAATTAAAAAAAAAAACTTGGTTTAATGTACAAAAAATTGTATATGCATAATATTATATTTTAATTAAAGAATTATAAATTAATTTTCCGATTTCTCATACTTTTGAATTTGTCATTGACTAGGTATGTAAATATGTAAGTTTTGGTCAAGGAAACATTAATAATTAACTATCAAGTTGGTCTTGATATATAGTACTCCTTAATTTAATTTTTACTATCGGTTATTCAGAAAATACCCATTTGCAGGAACAATTTGTAACTGGTATTAGACTGAATAATTTCAGTATAGTGAGATTCATTAAATTATTTTATGTAATTATTTGCTTTCATATAATCTAGCTATGAATGAAATGATTTAGTATTAGTATCTGGTTGAAATTTTATTATGCCTTTAAAAGGATTCTGGTCGAGCCAGAGCTCAACCGTCCCATGCTCACACCTATGACCATCACCTGCTACAGTACCCATCTAAATTAGATAGGTAATGTATTTGTAATACTTATACAGTTATTTGTGCTATTGTGTGTTTATATGATAGAAATCACATGTAGATACAATATTAAGGGTAAGTTTAGTCACTCAGTATTCACCAAAGAGAGTGAAATAAATTTAGATTATAGTCTATAGTTTTAATTTGTAGAATATATTTTTAGTCCCTCAAAAAGCTAGTAATTAATAAATAATAAATATATTTATTTTAATGAGTAAATTTAAGATACTTTAAAAATTAATTAAAAAACATTTGTATCAAGTATAATTACATGACAAATAATATGTACGTAATTAAAAATAAATATATCTATATCATATATGATGTATATGTTTAATTCCTAAATTGTTGAAAATGTTGTTAACGAATAATGAGTGACTTATTTTATGTAATGAGCAACATTACTTACATTAAGTATAAAAAATTGTACATTTTATATTATATTGAATAGCTTATAAATAATAATAATACAAAAATAAATAAATACAAGGGACATTAACACAATTATCTAAAATAATTGTAATCATAATTTACACTCTATATCAGTACAAAAAATACAATAAAACTAATTAAATGCAAAACATGTATTAACATGTATTAATAAAAAATATTATTAAACCTTTGTAAAAATATGTATAAATAATAAGTAATTAAACAATGTTGATATGATCTTTTATATTCATTTTACTAATTTTTGGTCGAAAAACATACTTAATATAAAAAACAAAACTCATTCAATTAATTTTATATTATATACAAATATATTAATTTAAGACTGGTATAAATAATATATATATATATATATTATACACAATACATATTTTTAAGATTTAGCATTAAAAAAATTTAAATGTATTTCATTTAACAGTAATATTAAAAACTTTAAAATTTACTTTCAATAAATTAAGATTTTTTATTAAAATTTACATTACACATAAGATTAAAAAAAAGTTGTACATACAATAAGTAAAAAATACAATACTGAATTTAACAGATCAAAAAAAAAATAATTTACAAATCTAATTTCGGTCTATACTGAAGTTTTAAAGGAGGTTCTCTGAATCTCCATCTTGTTACATATACAAATTTTAAAGTGTGATCTTTTCCCAATAATTCATCATTACACAAGATATCAATCTAAATAAAATATATAAATATTAAAACAATAAACATATTTTAACATATTAAATATATTTAATAAAATATTATTTGAAATACAGTAAATTGTTACTAACGTCTCTGTATTTGTCTGATCCGTCAAGTACTTTCACAGCAATGAACTTTTTAAGATGTGTAATAGTGGCTTGAGATGATACTCTAAGGAACTTTTTCTTTAACGATTTCAAGTGAGATGCAACACATTCCAATCCGATATTTACCTTAATGATATAAAAATAGTTTATAAAATATTTTGAGAAATTTTTTTATAGATAAAAATATATCCAATCAAAAGGAATAAAAGTAAGTTACTTGTTCATCTGTTCTATGGTAGTCAGAATCTGCTGCTGCTTGATCTTGAGCTGTCTTATCATCATCAATTTCAGTACCAGCTGGGACTTCTTTTGGGTATGGAAGACCTCTGATTCTATAGAATTCTCTTTCACGTTTAATTTCATCTAATATAAAATTATAATATTTTATACATTTATTTATTATTTGTAATTGTTCCAGTTATTTGTATTTATATATACCTAACTGAAGCCCAGGCACTAATTTAAATACAATATCCTGCATTGTACGATCAAAACTTATATACTGCAATGGATGTGATTGATGTATGACAATTTGACAAGTAGGACAACTGTTATTCTCTTCTAAATGTTTCACAAGACAGCTCTTGCAAACTAAATAATAATAAAAAAAAAATAGTATAACTGTAATGTTTTAAATGTAAATGTTTGAATATAAAATTTAGGTACAAACATGTATGTAAGCATTCTGTTACTGTTGTGGCATCTACTAAGTATCCTCTACATATTTTACACGTTATATGACAATTAAGAGTTTTTAATTTTATCAGTTTTTCCATTATTTTCGACAAAATCACAAAATAAACAATCGTTTTATAACAAATTTAAAGTTGGATAAAAGACTAGACTATTAACTTTAAGTAATAAATAACAAATATTATATGATAATTATTAATTATTCACAGTTTTCACTTCTCGAAGATAAAGAGATTTCAATATAATGTTTAACTTTAACATAATATTAATATATTATCTCGTTATCATTTATTCGAGTCAGGAAACTAAAAAAGTGTTGCCAACTCTTATTATTAAAAAGATACTAATTTTACTGGTATTGAATTTTATCAGTTCTCCCTGTTTATTAAATAAGGGATGATAATATCATACTACTCATACTATTTTTCTGTCGATATTTGATAATATACTTCTTGGTTTTTGCCTGTTTGTTACATAGTATCTTTCGAAAAAAAATTGAAACTTCTAATTTGTCAAAATATGTAAAATATAATTTAATGTATAAAATAATCAATATTATGTGACACTTGTGACTATTTGAAATGTATAAAATGAAGGTATACGTAATTAAAAAATACTATTGATCGGAATTAATGTAAAGGTAAATTGACAAATATTTTAAATTTATGTATCTATTTGCCTTTATTCTATAGATAATTTTGACCATGACTATTCATTAAAAATCTAATTTTTTTGTAGATATATTAATCAAAGAAAATTCAATTTTTACTATTTAATTTTCTATTTTTGATTTATCCCAACCTAAATTAAATTGTTTTACTTAGAATTTATTCATTGGAATATCCTTTTACCACTTTATCTTAGTAAAATTTGAATTATATTGTTTACTATATTTGTATTATACTCAATCTACATAATAAGAACATTTTATATTTCTTCTATAATATGTTTATTTAAATTATAATTATTATTTAGTAGTTACAGTAAATGATGGTAGGTTATTATAAATTTACAATTCATTTAAATACAATTATAATTTTATGTTATTTATACCAAGTTGCATAAAGATTCATTTAATATTTTAATAAATCAAAACCGAGCTAATGGTTTTCCTAGAAAAAGTTTTACAGTGGCTTATAATAGGTCCATTAAATGTCTATGAACCATTAAATTAATACATTTATAATACAATTTAGAATTAATGGATTAAATTAAATTGTTAAATAGTCATCACTCATCAATACATAAAGCAAACACTCTGCTCATATTTCATTTCTGTATTTCATATAAATATGTATATAATTTTATAGATAAAATATTTATCTATAGTATTATGTACAATATATATGAAAATATATAGTTTGTTTTTACTAACATAATCAAAAAATGTTATTTACATTTTATATTTATAAATGATTTCATAAGTTAAGTAGTTCTAACCAATTAAAATCTTATTACTATGTATTTTCATAAATCAAACTTATAAATCATATTTATGTTTAGAGTGTAATGGAAGAAATTGACATAAATATACCAAAGATCCTTTCATCATTCAATATGGATACAGATGCAGAAATTGTTTCAAAGTTAGCCAACTTTGATTGCAATAGTACAGATGATAATATAATGGACATATTACATAGTATAAATGGAATTGGATATGAGATTGAAGAAAATGTCTATTCTTTACCGAGCATGTCTATAAATAAATTAAATGAGCGAAAAAAACAAATTATTATAAGTCATCATGAACTTGCTCGTAGATATTATGATAGTCTGATATTTTCTAAAAGACTGCAAAAAAAATTAGCTTTTTTGAATAACTTATATGATATACTTCACATGAAATATTACTCATCTAAGGTATTAATATTGAATTTTTTCGTTAAACAGATATGATAGTTTTTTTTTTCTTTCTATAGGAAGATAAAAGTGTTCAAATATCAATGACACCACAAAATTCTATCGAAGAGACCATAAAGCCAGTAGTAAAATTAACTGGACAACAAGTACTTATACAATTAACTGTGAAAACGGGACTTACAATGTTTTTTACATTGTTAAAACAAAGTTGGGAAAACAAAAATTCAAATGGTTAATTATTAAAAAATATTTTTGATTATTATTGCTTTATTGATAAAATATTAATTAAACTTAATATATTTTTAGACATTAATATGGGCTTAGAAATTCTTAATACAGCATTAACTCTTATGAGAGAATTAAATCCACTTTCTTTGGGTAGTAAAGCTGAACTGCCTCAACTTGGTTTGGATTGTTTAGATAATGTAATGCATTTTGTAAAAGATTGTTTAAATGCTGATTTCATACAAAATATGAATGGTAAAATTATATTTTATTAAACTATCATAATTTTCAACTTTTATTATAATAAAAACTTTTAATTTGTATAGTTAAAGAACAACTTGCAGAATTATCATTATTATTAGCTTATCAGAGAGAATCTCTTATTTATTTATTGGAATGGATTGATATGGCTTTAAATATTAATGATATTTGTTTACCATTTGAAAAACTCTATAGAGTTTTGGAAGAAATGTCATCTATTTTGACTTTTGCATTTGGATCAGAAGAATTTGAAAGTTATAAATCCAGAAATTACATACCTCTGAAAGATGTTGCTTTATTATTAATGAAAAAAAGTAACTTTTTTGGCTTTTTGATAATGTATTGCTTATTTAAAGTTATTTAACTATAATTTTAGCTTGTTAGTTTTGGAGAAACTTCTGTTGTCCGTACTCCATTAAATCAGAATTCTGCTGAATTACCACAACCTTTAAGTGAAGTATTTATGTGGGGGAGTAATTCTTCAAATCAACACGCTGAAGGTGCTACTGAAGTAACAGATGTTCCAAGACTTGTTAGATCTCTGTCAGATGTACAACAAGTAGAGGCAGGACAATATTGCACATTTATTATAGATACAAAAGGTTGTGTAAGTGCTTGCGGAAAAAATAGTTATGGTCGCTTGGGATTAGGTAACTCATCTAATCAACCCGTTCCTAAACGTATTAACATAAATTGCAAGATTAAACAGGTATCCTCATCTAAAGGCTGTGATGGTCATTCATTAGCCTTGAGTGATACAGGAGAAGTGTATAGTTGGGGAGATGGTAGGTTTGATACGAAATATTCATTCATGTATTTAATTTTTATTTAAGTATAAATTTGATTTAGGTGACTATGGAAAATTAGGGCATGGAGATGTAGCTACACACAAAGAACCAAAATTAATTCAAGGGCCATTTATTGGTAAAGTAATAGAATTAGTTAGTGCTGGTTATAGACATAGTGCTGCAGTTACTAGTGATGGACAACTATTTACTTGGGGCGAAGGTGATCATGGCCGATTAGGTATTTAATAAAAAATATGCATTTTATGACATTTTTAAGTTTTATTATAAAATATATTATTTTTTTAGGGCATGGTGATTGTAATCCTAGGTTTATACCTACACTTGTTAAAAGTTTAAGTGATATGCCAGTTGGTTATGTAGCTTGTGGTTCAACTCATACATTAGCTTGTTCACGTGATGGAAATACTGTTTGGTCTTTTGGTTCTGGAGATAATGGAAAACTTGGTCATGGTAATACATTAAGATTATATAAACCACAAAAAATTGAAGGATTGCGACATTACAAAATAAAAAAAGTTGCTGCTGGAATACATTTTTCTGTTGCACTAACTTGTACTGGTGAAGTATGTATTAAAATCTTAGTTTTCTAAAGTTTTTAACAATTAATTAATTAATTTTTAACATATTAATACTATGATAAATTTAAATTATATTGGTGCTATCAAAAATTGATGTAAAAAAATATCTATGATAAGCAGAATATTTAATATTATATTAATATTTCATTGGTTTATGGAAAATTTTCTAATAAGTATATCTTAAGTTAATAGTATAAATAATAAATAAATGTTTAAAAATTGCAAAACTATGTATAATTAATTGTAGGGTCATTTGGAATTTTTTGTTTATGTATTGTATACATTAATTTAGGTATTTACTTGGGGTCAAGGATCAAATCTTGGATGTGGTTCATCAGAAATTACTCTTTTCTCCCCAGCTGTGGTTGAAGATTTAATGCAACAAATTATTATTGATATATCTGTAGGAGATTCTCATTGTTTGGCATTAACAAGGAACTGTGAAGTGAGTAAAATATACATATAACTATTAATTTTATATTATGAGAGCATAAATCTTACATTTTGTTTTTTTAATACTTCAGTAAAACATTCTTATAATGAATCCAAATGTTTATATTTAAGTTTTTTTGATTAGGTATATGCATGGGGCTCTAATGGGAAAGGTCAGTGTGGGCAAGGTCATTCAACAAGTCCTGTAAGTCGTCCTAGCAAAGTAATTAATCTGGAAGGTAAACAAATTAATCAAATTTCTGCTGGAACTTCACATAGTGTTGCTTGGACAACATTACCACCAGACAGGTATGCATATTCGTAATAGATGGTACAAATAAATACCTATTTATAAGATAATAAAAATAAGTTAGATACTGGTATATAATTATTAGTAGATAGTTATATGTGCATATAAAAATAGTATTCTACTCGAGTTTGTTTAAAAATTGTCCTGATATTCAAACTTTTTTCAGTTTTAAATAGTTTTATTGTTTTTAATGTTCTTGATTGCTTCAATTAATCAAGAATTTAAAAAATTTTTCCCTATACAAAAATATTCTAGTGAGTTTCAACTTTCTTTTAATTGGTATTTTTATTGGAAATATTGAGGTTTCAAGATTTTCAATAAAACGATCAATTACTCATGTTTAAGAGAATATAAAAAAATTGTCAAGCTATAAATAATCATTGTTGTTTTAACAAAAAAATTGGATTTTATTGAAATTTATTCACCAATGTAATATTTATTAAATTTAATTAAAAATTAGTCTTTAGAGAAATATATTTCAAATCATAAGTTATAATTATTTTAATCGATTATCATTTTTATTTCCATAACAAGACAAACAAATGTATGGCATAGTCCTTTCTGTATTGATTTACATGAAAGTACATTTAAGTGGTTAAGACAGTTTATCGAAAAATACTGTGAACAAATTGAGTCTCATCAATCTACACCTAATGAGTATGTATTTTTTTTTTTTTATATTACTTTCAGCATTTTTCAAATAATTATCCCCCATTCACTTTTAAATTATATTTTTT